ACTTAGTCTTGTACTTCTTCCCCTGATTTGCCCCAATCCAAGTCTCAAAGGATTATGGAGTAAATCCTGTGTGAAATAATTTTGTGGCTGCCTTGTGGATTGTGGCACAGTAAAGAAAATTAAGTTCATGTTATTAAAACATTTGACATTATTTCTCCTGGGGAATCATAACAGTCAAAGTTTTTGCCTTTTGTATATGTTTAAACACTATAAACATGGAAATGTCCATCTTTCAATACTTTCTTTTACAACCTTTCGGCAGCATGTTTTGATTTGAATGAAACCAAATACAAGTTGCCTATTATTGCTGAACTCGGGTGATTACTGAAAAGAGGAAAATCTGAGATTTAGCGAGGTGGGGGAAAAGTTTACCTTTCCAAAGGTAGCGTGTTGCAAGTGCTAAAAAGAGCATCATCTTCACATCAAAACAAGCAAGGTACAGGATTCAAGAAACAATGTGCCAAGAGGCAATTTCTCAGCAAGATGTTAGCATCAGAACACAAAGTGATGTGTCTGGAAGCAGAACTGCTGAGCTGCAAACAACCTGGGTGTGAGTCAGAGAATATTAGGACAGTGCCTGTCCACCAGGAATATAGACTTGATTGCATGTGACTTGTGTCAACTCTGGAGACATCAAGAGCAGAATATAAAAGCAAGGCAACAGGGATATTTCTAAATGAGCCATTCAGCCTCTAAGGCAATGAATCTGGCAACAACTGCAGTTCCAAGAGAAAAAGTCAACATTCCAGGTTTGCGTTCCATGGTTATATCCTTCATTCACTTTTTTCAGGAAAAAGGTCACTGAAACATCATGTTTGAAACCATTAAAAGACACAGTCATCTCCTTTTAAACTAGCCCATAACTTTGAAACCAGAATCCAATTGCCTGTTCAGCCTCATTAGTGTCTTTGGATCCTAATGACCCACTCAGTTGCAGTAAATGAAAAACTAATCCTTGCTTTATGCCATCGGCCGAGAAGGATTAGCCAACTCTTGCTACCCATGCAATCAGCCTTGCACTGCGGAGATTACTACCATCTAATACTGTAAGTCTACACATTCCAATCTGTCACAATAAGTAGCACTTAAAGCTTATTTCCTTGAAATGCTTAAGTGTATTGATGCTATAGGGTAAGATTGTTTTCTTACAATGCAATGATTCTTCTACCCCTGCCCCAAAGTCTGCAATTACCCACATGTATACAGTGATGCCCCTTTACTTCCAAAGTTAAGTTTTAATTATGTTCATAGTCTTGAAAAGAAAAATTAAAGAGAATTTTTTTTTTTTTTTTTTTTTTATATCAGGCCCAAAGCGGGAAGGCAATTGTACAGAATTTCAGTGGGGTTCAGTGCAGTAATTTTCTTGAATTGTGTGGAAAGACTGCAACTCAGACTGTAAACAGTTGCAAATGAAACCAGGAGTTTAATTAATTTTTTGGTGTTTAAAGATCCAGGTGATATTTTTTTGCGCTGTACTATTAATCTTAACAGGTAGCTAGAAACAGAGCCACTACTTACATTTAATGTTCCCTAATCAACACTGTGAGTTTTAACATTTATATCACTATATTTTTTCCAACCCAGATTTCTGGTTGCTTTTGCTGTATTACACTTAAAATGAGTGACCAATTATATAAGAAGAGTCTATAGTGTGATACTGTATACTTTTTTTCCCCTCAAAGTATTCACACAGTGTTATAATTAAAAATGTGATATGGTAAAGAACCAATATTAAAACTATCGTATGCCTCATTCATACTTGAATACTGAACAGTTTTTTTGACATAAAATTAAGGAACTCACTGTTTTTATCACCTTAAGCATTATATATAACAGCACAATGATATTTGTCCTACAGAATCTTATACCGTGCACATACACTTTATATTGATAGACTGAAGTTATAGAAAATGAATAAATTGCTTTTAACTGGAAACTTATTTTTGAGTGGGAACAGTTTGATCAATGTCTAATTTTCTATCAAAGGTGGTGTGTGAAGCCGTAAAAGAGCACTACATTAAAATAAATGCTATATCCCACAACTGCTGGAAGTAATTCGATTAGTCTTTACCTTCTACTTTCTAAATTAACTTTCAGCATCAAACTCATCCAGCTGTTGCTTATTTGTTAGTCAAACATGCTGGACTGTTTATAAGCACGCTTTACATTATGCATCAGTAAAATCAACAGAAAAATAGTAGATGGAGCTCCAGGCAAAGTGTTACATCACCTTACAAGTGATGATGAAATTTTTTTACTGAAAGACCACTTTGCACAACAAGGCAAATGTGGAGAAATGCTCTTTGCATTACTTCTGATCAGAAAAATGACATCTCCATACAGGCATTATGTCTCTGGGAGAAAGAAAACCAAGGCCTCAGTGTCTTCCTCCTGGCAGCAGCAGGTAAGCGTGTAAATTTTGTTTTTCACTGTTCAAAAATTGTACTCAACAAATTAAAAAATCGATTTATTCAAATGTCATGATCTCTCCTACCATTTTGGTGACACAACTTATCTAACCAGCACTGACCTAACGCTGGGTGATATGCGAGCTTTTACAAGGGAATTTTCAAGTTAAATAGTTTTCTGTCCAAAACGTCATTAAAAACTTAAATGAAACAGTAAAGATATCAGGGCTCTAAATAAACATTTGCCTTCTGGTTAGGATACTCATATAAGAGTCAAAGTCAAATACCTGCTCTGTTTATTTAAGAGAGGCTCTTTATTGTTACGACCTTAGGGCTCAGTTGTGAACTTGAACTCTACTTTACTAGGTGCAATACAAGGACAGAACAAAAAGGCAGTCCCCAACTCCAAGGATTCACAGCAGTACACAGCATGACCATATTACCACTTTGCAGACAGCTGCACTGCTTTTAAGAGATTACAGCTCCCAGCTGCCATTGCTATCCCGCTGCTGGAGGTTACAGGTCTCTAGTTAAGTTGTAGTCCCGTATATAACACCTGTTCTTCATCTGTTAGAGTCCAGAGTCAGCTAAGTTAGCTTTCCATGCTTTCAACAGTGATACACACTCACTGGCTCTGCACTGAGGCATGAGGAACTAGTGCACAGTCCGTTTACTGTACCTGCACCACAGGGGCAACACCTGCAAACAACAAGCGGTTATGAGCAAACAGCACTTTGCTCTCAAGCAGCCCCTGCCACGTTTGCCAAGACGATCTCTGTCTACACTTGCAGCCCAGAGATGGGTGTAGTCAGGTGGGTGTGTAAAGGACAAAACAAAATGACATTGGTCAATGTGACACATGCTAGTCTCAGCAATCCAGTGACAAGACCACTATTGATTTTATAGGCATAATAACACGGGATCATTTTTAGGCAGAATTTGACAGATACTAATGAAAAATCTCAGTGCATGTTTATAAGCAGTTCATGGTCTTAGATCTCAGAAAAGTAGCCCAAATACTGAGTGGTTGCCTTTTCTGAAGTGGCTTTCTTGTTCACATTCTTGATCAGCCTATTCAATTTCTCTAAGTAAACATCCAGCAAGACCTAGAACTATGGTTTCTCCCACTTCAGCCAGCAGCGTTGACTACCAGACTGTAATGTCAGAGACATGGATGACACAATTCATCAGAAGACAGGAAAGCAAGCTTCTGGTATGGAACAACTGAGAAAACAAAATTGTACTTTCCAGCTTCCTAAATGATCTCAGAATATCTGCCAGTAGCATACCCCGAAACACTATCCCAAATAACGTAGACAGGCTCTCAAACTTGCCTCTTGCTTATGTTTTTCAGATTGTGAAGTATGCAGTAGATTAGGAAAATTGTTTAAAATAAATTAACACAGAAACGCACACTTGGGGAGCACAGAGTCCACCAAATCCACGTCTCACTTCTTATTAGCTGGATCCCAGTAGCACTTCACTTAAAATTCCTGAATCCCTCTCCAGTAAACAATACCCAACTTTCCCCAGTCTCTGGGCACAAGTACTTAAGGAGAAGCCGGGCTGCACAAAAATAGCACTAAGGCATTTAGGAGTCTGGCAGAAAAGAAGCAGTGGCATAGATAACTGAGCTTTCGGTCATGTAGGGCTTTGCAGGTCAGCAGAGGGAAGGGGGCTCTACTTCCCTCTAGACCTTGTTGACCTTTTGTTGGTAGACTGTGCAGACAATACTGGTAGGACGCTTTTTGTCAACTTGTTCTACTCAGTCCATACACCCTTCGGAATAGTTTGGGCATTTGCAATGTCTTCTGTGAAGTCTGCTGAATGATGTGGTGTCCCCTTTATTTGCTTTGCTTCCGTTCCAGCATTGCGCTGGCCTGCTGTCAGGCAGGCTGTTTGCTTCGTAGCAAGTGACTGAGACACCCAATTTCCCTTATAAATTCATAAAAGGCTTCAAAAATTAGCAGCTTATGTTTTCATATGTGACAGAAAAGAAAATAACTCAGAAGTGATTCCAAGGGATTCACAGGGCACAGTGCTGTGGTGGCTCAGAACAGTCAGCATGCCTTGTTGAGTAATCCTGATACTGTCTTCACAGCCAGCCATTCCATAAGGGAAGACATTTGTGGAGAACTGGTAGATACACTTGTACTCACCACAGTTAGACTGGGAACTGTCTGCTTTTGTATCTTTTTTTGAAAGATACTAGATGAAGAGGAAGGAACTTGCTTTCAGTGTTCAAGTTAGAAAGACAGAAGCTGAAATGCTAAGTGTTATAACTGCAACATTATTTCACTTCAGATATTAAGAAATACCTACAAAACTGTATGTAAGATTAACAAAAAATGTTTATTTCAAAAATGTTATGAATATTCTGTGTATAACAGCTAATTTAAAACATTGTCTTTAACTCAAAATCAGCTTTTACTGCTACAATAAACAGTTATTAACACTTTCAATACAAGTTATTTAGTTTATATCAAAGGCTGAAAGTACTCATCTAAAAGTTTATATGCTCTCTCACAGATATAGAATTAACTCAACACACTGCTATAAAATTATATTTCTATTGCTTCTAAGTGCCAATTTAGCAATAGCATATCATAACACTTTATGAAAGCAACACATTTAGAAAAAAATGAGAAAAATAAAATCTGTGTCTCAAAGTCTGTGTGCTTGATGAACATACACATGTTCTTGCAGCAATTGCAATAACGTTCTTAGCTGAAATGAAAGGAGGAGATTAAATGCTTCGTGCTTTAACTTAAGAAAATGAAAACATTTGTCAAGGCTAAGTAGAAAAACAATTTAAAAGGAAGTCAAAGGTATTCAAAAGAATGTAAATGGCTTTGTATTTTGTAAGGAAGAATGAAAACCTTTCACAGAAGGAGACCGTGATGATCTCTGATCCTGTCCAAATGCAAATGGAAAACTAAAGTCATCTTTTCCATCTTCAAATGCATGAGAAGTTGATTCCGAGGGGAAGGGAAAGGCAAACGCATCCTCGCTTTCTGATTTCCCAAACAAGCTTCCTATATGGAATACATGTTATGTTTATTATTAGATTAAATCTCACTGAAAGAATACTGCATTCAGCATAACACGTTTTGTTAATAACACTGTACTCACAACATCCTGCTGTGTTTGCTTCTGTGCTAGAAGTGGTACTTCATTATTAGAGTCTACACAGAATGAAGTGCGAAACACGTGAATGACTTAGAACAAAACACTTCTGCATGATACACCGGGTGAAATATTTCGAACACTAAGCAACAGAGGTCTTTGGATATTAATGGATTTTTCCAAATTCTTTCTTCTCTAAAGAATAATGTGATCAACTGCTGAAATACTTGGAGAAACAAAGCTACAGACAGAAAAACACCTGAGTTTTATATTTAGTAACATAAAATTCACACACTTTGCTCTACAATGATTATATTTGCACACGACCGTATATTCATCCACTTCAAAAAAGTAGCTTGGCACTTGCAGCACCTCAAAAAAAAAGAGTAGATTACAGTTGTCTTCAGAAAACTGTTTGATCAATAGTAAGTTTCCATCCCATTGATATCACAAAAAATTGGCTTTCCATTTCAGTAAAGCCAGGATTTCACACAGGATGTGTAAATGTGTGTGGCTCACTCAGTTCGAGTGGAAGATACTGTTTAAGTCTGATTCTCCTCTCTCTCACCTGTGCTGTTTTTACACTGTGTACCTTCAATGGTTTAAACTGATGGAAGTCAGTTTACTATCGAGACTTCACTAACCAAATGGAAACTTTACTTTCACTTTCGTTGAGGGAAGGAAAGACCCAACAGATGTATTCTTTCCAACACTAAGCTGGTAACCTTACATTAAAAAGCAGCATTTATCAAGTACTATAGCTTTTTACTTTAAAAGAACTGTTCTTTTTTATCATGAAAAATTTTTTTATTATGAGAAAGCTTTGACACTTGAATTTTTCTTCTCCCTTGCAGCTCCTCTCGGTTTGCTTCAAACCCACCTAACACTATATTTATTTCTTTCTCACACCTCTTTTTCGTGACATCTCATACATCTGAAGTCAAACATGCAGGGAAAGATTTAAGCTAGTCAAAACACAAATGAACACAAAAAAACATTGAGCTACAATATCTGAACATCCTTTTGGACAACCAAAGGTGCCTTGTTAAGCAGGATCATGAGCTTGTCAGTCACGTAAGCACAAGAAGAAGACAGCTGGTATACACAAGTACATATGAGTTTCAGACTTACCAATATCTTTTTGTGGGGACAGAGGGTTCAAATTTCCCACAGAATAACCTTCCTCTGTCTGAAATGTAAACAGTCACTTTATTTAACAAATAAGACGGACAGAAGATAAGCTCTAATGCTGAGATATACTAAGTTCATTCGCTTTTGGTGAGAAAGACACCATCCCCATGAATGTTAGTAGCCTCCACAAAATCTGCGTTTAAACGTACAGATCAGTCACTAAAGTTGCGAGGTAAACTCCTTAACGAGATAAGATTCATGGTGTTTGCTTCCAAACACAAACACCCTGCCTCCATTCTTCCAGAAACAAACACCAGACTGAGAACAAAGCAAAATCTGATCTGGCTTGCTGCTGGTTTTTAAACTGAAAAGATTCAAAATTATTTCACTCTCTGACATTTTAGAAAAATTCTAAGCAACAACATAATTACTGTCTATTGAGTAGGACCTGAGGGTGAGCGAGTGGCTGCGTGGCGTTTAGTTGTCAGCCAGGCTGAACCACGACACGTTGCTAGAGAGAGTAGCAGAATAACCACTCGTCCCTCTTGAGAAGAGTTCTCAGGCTAGATTTACAATAGACACTTAAGTCCTTCAAAACTCCCATCTAACTTCAGAGACTGCTAGAGGCTGGTAAATTCTTGGTTTCTGCTGCCAAGCAGGCACAAAATAATGAGGATTCTGACAGCACTAGGTGACTTAACACATACCTCATTCCTAAACAATTCGCAAACTACTCACCAGTGTATTTCCTCCTACACACAGCTGATGCTAGGAGATACTAACAACACACATCTTGCCAAACACAAATGAGAACAGTGCTTTCCCTCTTCCTTCTTACAGCTTTTATCTAGTACGCTCAAGCCTGAGCGCACCCACTGAAACAGCAGATACCTGAGTTCAAATTCCCTATTTGCATAACGGGGTTTGAATCTACATTGCCAGCAAGTGATGCCCAACCCCTGCACTACACACTGACACACATCTACACTGAGTACCCAATTATCTATCTGTTGGCCCGGGAGAGAGAAAATTACTTCAGAGCACTGTAGTCAGGGAACCTGCAAAGGAAGAGGATAGACCTGGATTCCACTCTCTGTTCCCATTAGTTGCCTGCCTATTTCCTCCCTTTAAGTATAGCTAATCTGTGTTTGCTCTTCAATATTCCTGATAGATAGTCCTTTCTTCCTTTTCTCAGTGTTCTGCATTTTGTGAAAAATGGAAGGGAAAAAATAAAATTTTAGGTACCAGATTCCCCACTTCAGCAAGTCGAAACCACACGGGCTAGGCATGCGAGTTGTGAATTCTGCTAAGGTACCGAAAGTTTTGCATTGCGACGCTGAACCAGAAGCCTTTCTGTGAATCTAGTCACCTTTATGTTTGCACAAGTTCCAATCCTGCCCATATGGGAAAGGTTCATAACTGATCAGAAGTCGTCATAGGGGGTCACCAGGAAAGGAGAGATAAGCATTTTCAAAGGATATCGAATGTAAAATTAAGCAAGCTAGTAAAGAAATTATTTGCTACAAAGATAATCAGTTTGAAAAACCTCATTCACTGCCAATACTGTTTTCTTTGCACATTTTGCTTTGTGGAAAATTAATATTCTCAAGTACTAATTTTTACCTCGTCAGATGAATTTTCTGCCCCAAACACAGAAGAATCAAATAAATTAAAGCCAGGTGACTTCTGGGAGAAGTTCATGAGAGAAAAGAAAGCTGGAGATTTTGATGTTCCTTCTTCACAACCCAAATTGCGAATGCTGTAAAGACAAAAAGGAAGAAAAACATTAATAGTTTTTTAAAGTAGCACAGATGGCTTTTTTGTTCTATTTTTTCTTTTTCTCTTTTGTCACTTTTTTAGATCCCCATAGCTTCCATCAACAATTGCTTCTTGCAGCACAGAATGGGTAACAACTCTTTAAAGCAAAGTGAGGTGGTGTTCTTACTGATTCCCTACCCTTTTACCAAAAAAACTGTTTAAAGATAGAAATTGGTGTGACAAATATTACTGCAGGAAAAGACAACAATTTTAGCAAAGTAGCTACAAAGAACCTGTGTCTCGTGTATTTCTAAGCAGAGTCCCCTTCTTTCAAAACAGCTTTGAGTAGAAACGATACTGTAACAAGAAAATCTAATAAATTACCCAGCATAACTCAGAAAAAATATCTGAATATTTTCAGAAGACCTTTCTAGAGAAGTATTCTGTAGTATCTTTCAAAATCAGTGGAAATGTTTACACAATAAACATCAATACAACTTTGCTGACAAAACCAAAATAAAAGCTGAAATCATACAAGTCAAATGGAGGTGTTTTAGAGAACTGGGTTTTCTTCCCCTTTGAGTCAGGCATTCCTACAAACTCAGGTGTTTCGGGTGCTCTTAAAAAATGTTCCTCACTTTCTTCTGCTGTGTCAAGATTATCTTCATTTGACTCAAAACATGTCTGTATGTCCTATTAAAAAGAAACACAATAATGTTTATGGCATATAAAAATTCCCAAAATATCATTAGTCCATTTACCTATAAATATATTCATTATATGTTTTAGGGTTAGTTAGTTAGTTAGTTATTTTTATTCTCATGAAAAATAAAAAGATTTTAATACACTGCTTCATTATATGTTTTAGGGTTAGTTAGTTAGTTATTTTTATTCTCATAAAAAATAAAAATATTTTAATACACTGCTCGCAGTGACTTACTCACCATACTTAAAACTGTAACTTTAATTCATCTAATTTAAAAGGGACTTCTTGTGAATGAAACTACATATGAAAATTTGCTTTCAAAAAATAAACTTGTAAACTGACTGAAAATACTGATTTTGAATAAAAGAACTATTTCGCTCTGAAGTATGTCTTAGCATCCACACTAGAATCCTCTTGATACTCCCTAGTGAAATAAAGGAACGTCATCAGAATATATTTCAGTTGTCTGAGATATTTCCTCTTCCTCAGAAAACTTTAAATGAGAATGTACACTTGGATTCTGTGAAGCAATCTCCACCAGGCTCAATAATGTTTTAAAGACATTCTTCTCCATCAGCTGCCTGCAGGGATCAGCCTGTAGTGAGCCAACCAGAAGATGAGGATTATCTCAAACTTGATCTTGTAAACTGGTTTTGGCTGAGAGTTCATAGCTTGTATCGTGCTATATTACGGATTTGTGACGAAAACAACGTTGGTTACGCAGGGATATCACAGTTATTGCTGAGCAGTGCTCACACAACATCAAGGCCGTTTCTGCTTCTCATGCTGCCCCACCAGTGAGGAGGCTGGGGGTGCGCAAGAAGCTGGGATAGGACACAGCTGGGACATCTGACCCCAGCTGACCAAAGGGGTATTCCAGAGCAGATGTTGTCATACTCATCAATAAAGTCTGCAGGGAAGGAGAAAGGGAGGGGATGTTTGGAGTTATGGCACCTCTCTTCCTAAGAAACTGTTATATGTGATGAAGCCTTACATTCCTGGAAATGGCTAAACAACTGCTTGTAGATGGGATGTAAGGAATTAATCCCTTGCTTTGTTTTGCTAGCGTGCAGTTTTTGCTATATCTATTAAATTGTCTTTATCTCAACCCAGAAGTTTTTGCACTTTTACCCTTCTGATTCTTCTTCCCCCATCCCACTGTGAGGGGGAAGTGGTGCTTATGTGGTGTCTATGTGGTGCTTAGTTGCTGGCCAGTGTTAAACCACAACTTGCTATCACCTATATGTGCAAGCTGTACACACAACTGGCTTGAATATTATGGCGTGGTGAGCTTGATCTCACTTCCAGGCATAGCTAGTAAAAGCAGTGCCAATGGAACCAGCACAGAGGCTATTTACTAGAGCTGTGTGGGAGAAATGAGTTTCAAATGTAAATATTTTTTTTTAATGTTTCATCAGTGATGAAAATGATGTGTGCCACCAATTTATACAAAAACTATGATGTGCATAGGACAGTCATCCTAAACAGCCTATTGTTAAGGCAGCATAAAAACCCACAGAACACTGACATGACTAAGAGCAGTGATCACTCTGTTAGTAACGAGAAGACATTGATTGGCTTCTCAGCTGCTGGGTGCCTTAAAATGAGTCACTCTGTCCATTTCTTAGACTTACCTCTTACCCATAAGTTCAAGTGCGTCAAGCTACTTTGACTATTCTAAACAAAATAATTACTTACGACATAAGAAATGCTTTGCTTACTTGAGGTATATATGAAGAATCCTTTGGCTCATCTTCTGCTTCTTTATTGCCGCTTTTGGCCTCGTGGTTTGCTGTACGAAAAAAGACAGCACTGCTTGCATTGTGACAGCATTTTCGATGGAGAAATCAAAATTACATTGTGGGGAAGAATCCTTGAAAAAGGTTTACTAACTTGGCGTTGCTATTGATAGGAAGTGTTCTGACTGCAGTTTTCATAATAAACCCCTTTGTGGCTACATCCATAACAGTTACCTCTCGTTCTGCCACTTACTTGCTATCGTTAAAGCAGCACTCAGGCTGCTTAGTATGGTTTGGTATGTTCTTCAAACCTAGCTATTGTTCCCTGAGAGCTCTACGTTTGTCTAATCAAGCTGTGGCCTTCTGAGAGTGCTAATACCAGTCAATGGAAACCAGGTGGAAACAATACAAAAAGCACATCCATACGACACTGATGAAGTGCATCTTAAAGAACTGGGCAAAAGCCAGGGCGAGAAATGAGAAGAATGTTATCAGACTTTCTGCTCTAAGCTTCAGACTGGGCAACGCATCAGGCACTGTGGGTAAAGATCTTGTGTTTCAGGACACATAATTAGGATCTTATTTATGAAAAAAAACAAACTATAATTTTTGACATGCATCTTAATTGGCAGTATAATTAGAAAAAATATGTTTAAAGTGAAGCTCAGTGCCCTGTGTTTTCAAAAACCATAGGTGTATTTGTGACTACCCTGTTTTGTTTCTGTAAGCATTCTGTATGTATTTCTCAAGTTAAGTTGCCGTTTTAACAATTTGATGCTCCAAGATTCCTAAATTACTGAGTTTATGATGTCCCTTTTCTCTGCATTTTCTCATGCCTTCTGGGCAGATTTTCAGATTGGATTTCATTTTATCCCAGTAATTCGAGACTAGAGCACAAATTTACGAGAGATACTGGAAGGTTCCTTTCATTAGCAATGGTCAATGCAGAATGAATCCCACATTACAGAGCAGCTCAGTCTCTAATTAAATTACAACTCTACTTGTCTGCTATACTCAAAATTTGAAATAAATAATCAAGGTGGGAAAGGAATACAAATGCTGGCCCACTTAATAACACAACAAAAATGTGGCCCCTGGAATTGTCTCTTTTATAATGATGTGATCCAGCATACAGTAACTGCACATGCTATCAAAAAA